CCTTCACGTTTATCTTATGGTACGGGATTCATCATAAAACCATGCCTGACTGAAAAAACCTCACATTGAAATGTTCAAAGTCATGAATTACTAAGATATTATGTTTCTTATGCTGTCTGGCAATGTAGAACGAAGATGTGGTATTTCTATTATTCATAACTCACTTTACTTTTCATGACATCGCAGTGGCCTCAATCAATATATGTCGATGTTTTATATTCACCATACACACAGCTATTTTTATCAGGTAAACAAATTTGATGGTGATTTAATATAAGAGATTGGTTGCTAAGTATATGCGTTTATATAATGATCATGGCATGGGTATTGGCTGAATTATTTAAAATGCTTCTGCTTTTAATTGAGATGAATGACTATAATCTTCATAAATGACAATTTGTGGCGTAAATATATAAGATAATGACGTGCTCTTCTGGTTCATTTTGATATAATTATTAGTTTCGAAAACACACCTTACAATACATGTACTTAAAACAGCCAATCACTGAAAATATTATTGAATACATTAACACGAATACTACAGACTCTACTTAGATAGTACGCCTGGACATCTTACATTTGTGGAATGAAATTTTCTGCCAAGCGTACAAAGAGCTCAAAATGCGTACAAACCATAATCATACTTATTATATGTACCCGACGATAAACCAACTTGAACAAAATACAACAGCAACGTTAACTGCATGATGGCAACGACCACACATTGGAATGTTTAAAGCCGGTAAGACATTATGCTTTGGGGGGAGTTATTCGCAGGATTATATGAGGGCGTTTTATTCTTATTACACGTAACTGACTTTAATTTCCATGGTAACCTATTCATATCAATTCAATCATGGACCTTGGTGCAGGATTCAATATATGTCGTTGTTTTATAGTTCAATGTCCACAGCGGCTTAATCAACCAAGCTTAATCTTTCGGATGGCGTACGTATTTGTTCGGCTTAGAGATCTGATAAAACAAAACCACACCCCCTAGCCGCGATCTTTTAAGTGGTCATGTGACTCATCTCTATGACGACAAGATTATTTTTAACGCATGTGCAAGAAACCTGAAAACTCTTTTTAAAAAAACTCGGTGCTGTTCGTCCCGTTTACTTGGACTTGACCTGTGACGACACGAAATTATGAGCGTCTCTCTATCTCACGGTAACAAAGTGGAGCCTTTGGAGAAGACAACGGACAGCATTAAAAACACGCAAAACAGGGTAAGGAACTCCACCACCACTTTATATAAATGATTTAATTTCCCTCAATCTAATTCCACTCAAGTTAATTCCAGAATACCGATCTAGAAATGGCATCCCCATCAAACTGAAAATAATATTATTAAGTCTACATTACAACACATGTTTGCCTAGAGAGGGCATTAGTACTGAACAATTAATACCACTTATAGCGTTTTCATTATTATAATAGCACGCACTGTCGGGTCGTCGATGAATAAAGTGATTAATAACGAAACGGTTCACGAAGAAGTTGGTGTATTGTCAACATACAAAATGAAATTAGACAGCGGTCCGGTCACTGTACATTTCCACACACCAATAAATATTAAGCAGTGAACATACATTAATAACTGCATTTATGAATTTATTCATGAACATATATTTTTTCTCAAAATAATATCACACTGATCGCTTATTAAACCGTCAGTACAATATCATCTAAATTTTCGACATACGTACACAAATCATGTTCATTATTTTAAACTGAACACTAATGCTGCAGAAATTACAATTATGCTCTGTAGATGAATGTGTATATTATGTGAAAAAATAAAATAGTAGTTTGGAGTATATTGGTTCTGCTTCATTGAATACAAAATGGAAAAAGACAAAAAACTCGTGAGTAACCTTACAAGCATGGTGACTGTTATGGTTAACATTCTAAACGCTCGTAGCCACGCACGGCTCGTTCCCATTCAAATAATCACCATAATTGCAATATTTCGATGAAACCATCCACATTCGCATCTGTTTACTGATATGTCACAGTACTTTTTCATCACTTTTTTTGTTTAACGCAGAACATTGTTTCGAACCAATTTGAAAAGCATTGAATATCAAAATGACATCGTTCCGAGGCTCCGCCCAAAGTTATAGTATGATAATGGGATAAAAATATTATTATATTAGACCGATATAGCAATGACTGGTGCACATGCGCACTCTGTATACACATATTTCTGCAATAGAATTTCACCAACGTTTAGATAATGAAAATGTTTTACATAGTGGTGTCAATGTTATTTGACAGGCGAACGGTTACTCACTGCTGCAGTGGTTTTTTGGAGCAGAGTTGACGTCACCGTCACTTCTTCGATATGGACTAAAACATCATAACTGCTTTTGATATTTCCAGTGGATGTCACATTGTGTCGTAGTGTGCAGCTGTATTTTATTCGTTGATATTTTGTAGCTAATTTAGAATATAATATAATATAAAGAGTTAACCGTACGCGTGTTGGAATAAGCCCAAATCAAGCCGAGGGCGTTCGACGCGTTACGGATTATTCCCAGTGGGAAAGTTTTTTTTTTTCGTAGCTTGAACTCCGTTTTACAATAGAGGATTATTTACGAGTGCCGTTTGAGTCCCTGCATAGGTCAGGGTGAAATTAAAGACCTATATAATGTTCATATTGACAAAAATGGAATTAGTCAACCGCATGCCTTTGTGTATGACAATATTACCTCCGCCAAGAGGTAATATTATCGGAAGCGTTGGTTTATTTGTTTGTTTGTTTGTTTGTTGGTTTGTCTTTTCGCAGGATAACTAAAAAGTTGTACATCGATGTTCACGCAATTTATAGGAGAGGTCACCCTTGATATAAGCACAAATACATATTTGATGTTGGTATAACTATGAATACAGTTGTGATAGAAACAACAATTTCGGGGTGGACTCGAACGGTTAGTTATGCATTCTCATATGTGTTTAAGAAAGTTAACGTTGTTCCTAGTACGGACCAGTCAATTAAATTGGGACGAAGATTCAGATACGGCTGCTATAGAAGCAACTATTTCGGGAATTGTTTTATTTATAACTACAGATTTTCATGAAGTTTTATGTAGGTTTCGATGCAATGACCAAGGTATTGAATGATGGTAGAGAAGTGGATATGGTTGCCATGAAAACAAAAATGTGTGGAATGATTTTTCAACTCAACAATATATTGATTGTTTCAAGGTAAATTTTAAGCAAGGGTTTCTCTTGGAAACAAGCTTAGTTTTGCCCGCAACATCATTGTCAATTTCTCGATCGACAGACCTGTGTTGAAAACAGCATGTTAGTTAAATCGCTCCTCGCAGAGAGACATATGTCAGTTGATGTTTGAGATATCATATCAACATCTTGGATACCCATAGCCCGACAAATATTATCATAGCAACAGCTCAACAGATATCTATCTGTATACAACCACGATGAATAGTAATTGGTCTCTATTATGTGATATTGGCTTTATATTAACTCGTTGAATACACTGTGCGTGATGAATGGACTGTAATATCACTATGATTTTTGGTCCATGTCAATAGTATTTTGCATTCATACCCACCTTAACAGATAAGTGGGGGTCTATACAAACCCATTTTTAAACAAAGATTTCGTTTGTCAGATGAATTTATATTTTATTGTACATCATTCATTTATCACGGTACAAAATTTAAGTAATATACTCGAAATTTCTAACTGGGCCGTTGAGAACCATGTGTTGCGAAGATACAATGCCCACCTTTGTAATAACTTCGCAAACATATGTTCAAATCAGTTATTTTGCCTTCCCAAATAAATGCAAGGACCTGGCGATTGTATTTGTTTTTCACATACCACCCCGGCATAAAACCTGTATGAGTAAACATACGTTATTGTGCGTTTCACCGTATGAGAACTCATCGACTTAGTTGTGCTCAAATTGGCCTTGTCAGTTCGAAGTAAACAGCAAATTTGTGTGGTGCATGGACGCATTCGGCTCGAGCCGAAAACACGATATTCGGTCCCCATAAATAATTTTAGTTGAAAGTCGGTTCCGATATGATGTAACCAAATGTATATGAAGGAACAGCGAATAACGTCGCCGTTCAATTAATTTCCAAACTGCTTTCCGAATTAGTTAGTTAGTGTTTTGAGTCCGTTAGAATTGTGATATTCAGGCTAAATAACCCAACAAAGAGTGTTTTCTAACGATAAAAATATGTATATTAATAATATTGCAGAACATCGCGTGTATGGTCATAATTGTCCGCCAGTGACGTCAATCTTCACTCGTAAATAAGGTTATGTACAGCAAGACGTGATTCTCAGATCGAGTCGAGGTTTGGCACCGATCAAATGTACGCCATATGAACAGAGTTTCATTCGATCCAGCATGCACGCCTGAGAACAATAATTAGGAATGCTTACGTCAAACATACCATTCGAATAACGTCCTGCGAGCTGATAGCAGAACTAATTCATTGACCGCGGCCTTGGCCCTTTATTTTAGGGACAGACTTCATATCCAAGAATAGTCCTCGTTTTCAGGCTTTATTCTATACACAGTCAAGGTCAACAGTATTCCTCGTAGTTCATTTACATGAACCTTAGACTATTCGCAAATGTATCTTTTATGAAGGTACGCAAGTCACCACCTTCCACGGAGTAGGTATGACATAATGAACATGGAAGTAATTACAAAACTGACTAGAACATTTCAATTAATCTCGTCATAGTTTGAATTATTTAAAATACAAGTTTTGAAAGGCATGTGAGGAAACCGTATTTTCAAATGAGAACACCGGTTGAGAACGAATATCTAACAAATGTTTCAGATGAAGTTACCCAGTACTGTATAATATTGTATTGTGTTTCCCTCAGGTCATGGCTGGGATAGGGATACTCAATACATCAAAGATTTCTGATAAACTTCGTATATTTGAGTATCCCGAAATGCGTCGTATTTTCATTTCACGTACTCGTAATATGATAAGTGAACTCACCTGTTGACGATAACATTGTTGATTCGGTGGACGGCTTAGTATTACGTAAATTCCCTCACCGCTTATGTTGGACATATCTCTTGCGATTCGTTTTACATCAGTCTTAGTGCAGCGACTGACGATAACTGTTGATGGGACAAACACGCTCGGTAATATTCAGTGGACTAGCCTGGGGGATTAGTAACCTTTCTTGTGATTGTGTAATGCTTATGTTGTTGATGCTATAAGCATTCGCATATATTATTAGACCACATTGTTTAATAATTCCCAAATGAGACACACTATCGGAGAAACAAGTTGGCGATCGTAACAATATACATTGTATTAGACACTCCGACGTGGTGGACAAAGACTTAATCATGAAGTGAATTGGGTAGACTCTCTAATTATGCCCTGGGCTTCCTTTGGGGTCAACCCACAGTCATCTTCCCGAGCCAGCAAGTATGCATACATATCTCATATTATAGAACGATCATTCAGTTTATTGCAGTAATGAAACGCTTCAGTTGCCAATTCACGGGTGATACGTAAGGGATACTAGATTCCATGATACACACACACGGATAAGGATAATACCCCAGCTCTAACAATTGCCAAGCACGTGAAAATTGACAATCTTTTGACCTTTTGGCAGCACATTGCATAAAAAAGTGCCGCTTAGGTACCAGTGAGATGTAAGACTATAGTGGTGTTCACGTTAGAGATCTCGGCACGTGCCGAGCGTTGAGACCGGATCGATACGAGCTAAAACATGTGCGTGAACGCTCGAGTCGTTTCGAAATGAACTCGATTTAAAATTAAAGAGTTGGGATCAAAACGTGCTGAGATCAGTTGTCTGAACGCTCGCCGTGAGCCGAACTCACGCCCTCGGTGGTGAACTTAAGAGAATATATATTGATTTCTAAAGTATTCCATGGCAGCTACGTTGTTCTATGCCGGTAAAACAACAAATAATCCGTACATGTTGCCAATTTACACGAATGACCATCGTTGTGGCTTGATTGCAAGCCCCCGCCACGAGTAAATGTGAACGTTGAAGGCGACGCACCTTTATGACAGCAGTCAGTTTCTTCTTGCAATGCTACATCTAAATGAAAAATAATCCGACTCGTCACAAAGTTTGGGTCACATCGACAATGCGCCATCACATCACGTAATATATCAGTACATTTGTTTTGCACGAAATGAGCTCATTTTGAGGTGTTTAATTCGGATTGTCCTTAAATTCTGTTTTCTTTTTTCAACTGAACCGAGAACACTGTTAGACAGGTGCGTGCCGTTGTTTATGTATATACCTACATAATATTTGTTTAAGTTGGTCTTTTGTCAGATTTCCACAACCTAGGATTAGTGTTTGATATATAACTCACTAGTAGATACAGTTACACCTGACTGGAAATCATCATAACAGCAACGGTATTGTGCGTAGTCGGGTAACATGACTGACCCTTAAATATCTTGTACACAGTCGTAATGTACTGCTGTTATGCACTGGTGTGACTTTTACTTACAACTCGGTGTAGTCTCTGTGGAAATTGGTATACAGCATAAACAACTGTGGAGTAAATGACATGTGCGATAGCTGGTGTATACTTAGTATTTATTATCGGCCACCACAGTCTACATGGACACAAGGATTGGGTGATTTACTGTTTTATCAACATTCTGTATTTGCTACCCTGTTGTACAGGGCTTGTTCACACCGATACGTTCACATTAAAAGAGAAAATATGTTGCCAGGAAACATCGGTAGTTTTCCCATATACGGCAGTTCAACACTATTGCTGGCCCCACATATAAATCTGTGCTGTTAATTTCACGAGGTATATGTATACAACAGTTATTGTGCGTTATGAGGTGTAGATTGTCTTGAAATCGACACGTTTCTTGAAAGTTTCTACCACTGTTATCATAGTCATCACATGTCATATCGTGTATTTGCTATATATGAACGATTGCCTGATTTATGCAAATCGCAATGTACCAGGTAATGCGTGGTACAATAACAGCACCCCATTTGACATCGTCTTCAGTGGCCTGTCCGTCAACTCTAGACGAGGCCATTACATCGGCGGATGTGAGAGGCGTGATCGACTTGTTGAAAAGCAGTGTTGAAAACACTATCAAGAGCTACACGGACACCTGGATATCGATACACAGTCGGTATGTCACCTGCGTGACAGAGATAATCTTATCGCTTGTATTTTAATAGTTGATATTTAATCATTTAGTGATGATGTATATTTAAATAGTTTAAGATAGGGTTAGCTCTAGCGGTATTTTCATTTCGAAACAGGCGATTGAAAAATTGCCATCTTGTCGTACTTTGTGTATGATTATTTATATGGTTATGAATATTTCTCAGTATTGACATTGTCTTAGGCAATATACGTTAGTGGTAATACTTATATATTAAATTTATTTTTAAAACAAAAATGGTTTAGCCACTGCTGTCAACAGAAACCAATACAACTTGAAACACCCGGAGAATCAGTGCCTAGCATTCTATTTTCACTTTAACATGAATTATTGATTCCTGGGGTGTACCATATAATCAGTAAGTGACATTACAGTTACAGTTACAGTAATACACCCCCACACAACCCTCTCTCAAAAGCCGGCCACAGACAAGCAGAATAAAATCCGTCCGGATATATTCGGCTCAAATCCGAAACTTCCCAACACTAAGCGAATAAATCGGCACACGCTATATGAACCTATCCCCAGAAATGTCGTTGCATAGACTGTTAAAACAGGTTGCCAAATTGTGGGAAAAGTGGTAGTTTAGGGAGTGAACTTGAAGACCATGGTTTAGGTAGTGAACTTGAAGACCATGGTTTAGGGAGTAAAGACAATGAAGACCATGGTTTAGGGAGTGAATTTGAAGACCATGGTTTAGGGAGTGAACTTGAAAATCATGGTATAGGGAGTGAAGACAATGAAGACCATGATTTAGGGAGTGAACTTGAAGACCATGGTTTAGGGAGTGAACTTGAAGACCATGGTTTAGGGAGTGAAGACAATGAAGACCATGATTTAGGGAGTGAACTTGAAGACCATGGTTTAGGGAGTGAACTTGAAGACCATGGTTTAGGGAGTGAACTTGAAGACCATGGTTTAGGGAGTGAACTTGAAAACCATGGTTTAGGGAGGGAACTTGAAGACCATGGTTTAGGGATTGAACTTGAAGACCATGGTTTAGGGAGGGAACTTGAAGACCATGGTTTAGGGAGGGAACTTGAAGACCATGGTTTATGGAGGGAACTTGAAGACCATGGTTTAGGGAGGGAACTTGAAGATCATGGTTTATGGAGGGAACTTGAAGACCATGGTTTAGGGAAGGAATTTGAAGACCATGGCTTAGGGAGTGAATTTGAAGACTATGGTTTGATGAGTGAAGACAATGAAGACAAGGAGCAGACGATTATATTTTATGTACGTGGCTTGAAGGGTACGTTAAAATAATGGCTCATCGTTTTGTGTTCACTCAGACCCAATAATCGTTTTGTAACCCCTGTCATTTTATACGGCAGACACTGCATTCTGAGCGTAATAAAACAACAGCTAACCGGTGTTATCATCAACATTGAAGTAACAACATAATAACTTCCCTTTCTCTATCGCTTGCACATTTATTTCTGCACGTACATCTTAAAGGTTTTATCCATGATCACAGACAAAAGATACAGTTCTTCGTGTTCAATGCTTTGTATAGCATGGGTCAGCAATTGTCTCACAAGAAAACATATCAGCATGCCTTCGATTCGTGTATGTCGCACAAGTTAACCACTGGGGCGCAACAACCCTCGCATACGGTCTCCAAGGAGACGAGATTAGACAAAAATGCAATTTACGCATGCGCACAATACCTGTCGCCGTATTATTACATTCGATTGACTTGTTCCCGCCTTCAAGTCATTGGGGTATTTGATATTTCACAATATCGATGTAGACTTATTTATCGCTCGCGAAGGCTCGAAGAAGTACCATGAGCAACACACTACGTGGCGAAAATAAGGTGCATCCCACCGAGGAGACTCCATACAGTGCAGAGAATGGGAATGCAGGAAAACAGGTAGTGGTTCCGTTGTAACAAATGAGACACCATTCTATATAATATATTGATAATATCATGTGTTATTTTGCATTTTGTATTTCCTCGATCCAGATCATTTTTTTTTTACTTTAACACACGAGGAAACGAGTCTATCTGTTAAGATCTTGGAGTAGATGTGCGCAATATTATTTGTTGATTTGCAGTGCTGCTTTCATTGATTTGGGTATTCTGGGAGGGGCAAACAAAAATGCCCTTTGAAGACATTTTGTAATTTTTGCCTTAGCACTACACTCACACTGTGGACGACGGACACATTAACAATCGCGCTGTTCACGGAACAGTTCACACTGCTAACAAACAGAGTGATCAATGATTTGGCTTGCGACTGACTATTACATTTAATTGCTGTAAATAATGACTACAATATTATATTATTATATAATATATCAAATAAAATAATCTAACTTGACCACGTGTACTGTGGTTTGGACCGTATCTGCGCGATCGTGCAGTGCAACGTGGAAAGTTATCAATTACTCTACCAAGTGTGTCTACATCCGCGAAATGCCACTTGTTATATGGCTGCTTTGCGATATAATTACCGGGTACTAAACGAAAAAAAATATGTAAATCTGTCGCCCAATGGCCACGAACAGCAGTTAAGTTCAGATGAACTTAGCTTACGTTCCCGTGGAAGTGTTACAACTATTTTTTCATGGATATAGACTTTCATTTTTGTTAATCAGTTAATATGTTCTGAGGTTACGATATTGAATCCACCGCCATTGGTAATAGATACTTATAAGGGAAATATATATACCTCTTTGTTGTTTTCGCTGGCCATGAAATTTATGTTAGACAACAGCACTGTGACGTTGCTAGATTTGTGTTTGTTGTGTCGGGGTGATGAAAATAATGAAACATAAGCAGCATGAAACGTGTTCAAGGAGTTTTAACGCGAGAAAATTGGACATCTTTTGATATTCAATTGGAGTCAGGCGCTATAAACGAGTTTTTATTGGTTCACTACAAGCAACGTAATTCCATTGTTCTCAGGATTATTATAATTAAATATTATTAAGAACAGGGTTAGTGAACATCTAGAATGTATGCGACGATCCATTCGATTGTTATCACTTCACCGATGCATGGATACGTTGATAGTCATATCTCATTACTTATTCAGATTTATGCAAACGTCACGTGCACTATGCGATATCATAATTGTCTTATAAAAATAAGTTAAATGGTCCGTTCAAATGCTTACATGAGAATTTCCCCATAGTTACGCTATCATGTGTTGACTATATCAATCAAATCTACGGTCCGTCAACCTAGGCTTATTAGGGGTTGCGGATGAAGAGAGAAAATGACTCATAGATTCCACAAACTAACTATACGTGAATTTTGAAGAGTTTAACGTTGCTTTAATATTCAACTGTTACATAAGTTAAGCCATAATTTTTAACCAGTGTATGTTTTAGATTAAACAGATGTATTTCATCTAAGGATTTAATTAACACAAGGTATATTTATTTTAACATAGTCGACGAAAGTTGTCAAGTTTTGAAAAAAAATATGGTTAAATGCGTCTAAAAAGTCTCGAGTCAACAAGGAAGGAAAAATATTTATCAAGTTCGCCTTGGATGAAAATCATTATATGATACAAATTTGTAATAAGCCTCGCTCTTTCAGTTCATCAAATCACCTTCTCGAGGGGTTGCTTATATCGGACAATCTGTCTCGTTTTATGGCTGGTGGTTTCACGCACTGAAAAGCCAAAATAAGCTCCGAGCTCAACTGCAAATACTACCTTTTGTTGTACAAACAATAAAAGTATTTGTTTACTTTGATTGATACAGACACAATTAACTTGGCGTAACTCCGTGGCGTCCAAAGTCACTTTGGATTGAGATTAATCTCTATGAACTGCAGAGAATCACGTATTTCTGTCACGGCTGATACACCTGCGGGAGTTGATCGTATCTTTGGATGGAACGCTTCGTTATGCGTCTCCGAATTCCACCCTTAATCCACTTTAATGCGACCCTGGTGTAAAACCCGGATCATAAACTTGGGAATTCGCGTGACGAAACATTCTGCGAGAAAAAAAAGCAGATTTTGTAAGTGGATAAAAACCTGCATACGGCGTTAATGATAGAGATGGCGACCTTTTAGAATGTGTTTCTTGTTTTATCAACAAAACATAAACAAGACATGATATTATGGTATCAACGGGCAACAAAACTATACTTCGACATTTGCACAATTATTCTATATTGCCGGGACATCGAGTAGTATGACGTGGGTGTGGCGATGAAAAAGGTACCGTTAGTGTGTCGTTAGTGTTACATCATCGTTAACACCTGCAGTCCGACGTGGGAATAGGTCAATGTCCACTTAACAAACTCCTAGATCTAGCGTCAAATAGATGGCATTGTTAAGTATATATTGATTTTCGTCGCCCTGTTAACTGTCATACGCTGCTATTAAACAGTACTTGAATTATAACGTTTTTCGTACCATGACTCGACTCACCTGAAATAAAAAACACACATCGTAGCAACAGGCAGCATTGCGTAGACTGGTAACGATGGTCGCTACCGTCCCCGAGCAAACTGATGATTTATTGATTGTCCAATCCAGCGCAATACATGTATTATCGGTGACACTGCCTTTGAATATTGTTGACCATGACAAGAATAACCATTATATAAATTTCACAGGCAGGCGATTTCTTGGTAATCAAAATTCCATTTTCCCGTGATATTGCGGTGCGTTGCGATTTCGGTGACATAGCACACGCACGCAATTGAAGACAATGAAATAGAACAACATTTAGTCGTTGACTGTATCTAACCTTCTAATTAATGAGAACAACTAACAATGACTGAATGAAGTAGCTTTTTTTCTAACCATTCAAATTCCGATGTATATAGTGTAACAGAAATATTCTCTCAAACGGTCGTAAATACGAGATAATGATAAAACGATGAAAAACTTCCGCCAAAAAAACACACATTATAGGATGAGCCGTAGACGATATAATTCGAATAATTCCTTCACATTGTAACTTGTGCTGGTGTGTCATTAAAATGGTTGAATACATTTCTTAGAATGCCTAATGCTTTGGAAGTTCAACAAAATCCATCATCGTCAGAAGAAAAAAAATGTGGTCAACGGAGTGGAGGTACCGCCCTGAACCTCAGACAACTAATAATTGTACTAGTTGTCTGAGCCTGAACAAGCAAATGTCAAAACGTTGTGTAAACACCACGGAGTATTTAGCGAGTGACATTTAGACACCCATACTAAGAATAGCGATTAACCTCTGCTGAGTGTTATGGTCGAAGCCATTTATTAAATTAAAAACTAACTGTACATTACCAAATTTCACCATGAAGTACATAATATTTGTAGGATGTATTTGTAATACGTGGTATATATACATATATAAGTGGTTGTGCGTTTCCTCACCGCTGCGAGCTTTAGTTGTAATCGTTTACAGAAAAGAACACGACGATGTATTCAAGTTGTGTACGCGGTCAATTGCCCATATCCAACACAACGCGCCCGGCGTCCGGTGACCACGATACACGTAATTCAATATATTGTTGTCGTTATTAATTGTGCGTAAAATTGCCGCCCTTATGTCGTCTACTGAACGTGACATTGTGTTTAAGTTGTAGATTACGGCTCATACCAGGAGAGATAGCGTACTCCTTTCTTGTTTATGTTGTGTGTGAGGGAAGCATAAATAATGCGAGATCGTCATCTTATATTACTACTGACAGGGGCAGAGCGTGTAAAGGGAATAAGCGTTCCTTAAATCGTGCATACAGCCACCTATAGGCACTTGTTACATATAAAACATTAAGCATTTAGTTTAGAGTCGGCTGACGTATCTAAGCACAACTAGAGTATGCGCTTGCCAGTTGAGAGATTGGTATTCAGAGCATACACACGTGATTAATTATGCAGGCCCAGAGGTAATGTCGCTTTGATTTGTTATACTTATTCCGTAAAGACATTATGTCACGTGCATTATAACATGGGAGTGTATTTACCATGGTTACTCCACTCAATTCTGCTTCTTTGTTCGACTGTTTACCTATGTGACTGCTTATACCGTCTCAGACTGTGTACATATATACATATATCGGTATATATATTGACTAGAAGGCATTGCAGGCTGCATTATACAGTATATAAAAACGTAATATGTAAGCGAAGGTACCTGACTACTGACCAGTTTTGTGCCGGGATACCACGTTGGTGTCAATCGAGTTGTAATGCATATAATATACATGTATATAATGTACTTTCGTTTATGTGCAAATATTACTCATTGGCGGCGGCGGTCGGTGTCGTCATGCCGCGCCGTGTTCGTTCGATGTGGACACTGGTTTGTCCGCATAGCAATCCAATGCGTGTTGCACGGAGAGAACTGCATATAACCGTGATGAGGGTGTTTATTACTGTTGTCATTTTCCGCATCATATATGTTTACCGTGCCAAATGATGTAGCCTACTATGACGTAATCACTGAACTATAACTAACCTAAGGAAACTTAAATGTGCCAACGGATAGATAGATATTGACAGATATTAATGCCATACCGATATCGTCACATTTGTAAAGTGGGTAAATAAATTTTGTGTTATTTGTGACACGTGCAGAAAGCGCGGGGGGGGGGGGTGATTGACTGCCATTCGCCGAGGTCATACCAATTCAAGTCTGCTTGCGTGTTGGCGATATGAAAACCGTATAACAGTCTGACTAGGGACAATGTCGCTAACAACGGTAAATAATGATGGAGCCCATCAGTCCCGTGGGAGGGCACTGAAATTTATTGATGCATGTGTCAATTCATCGTGTGTACACAAACACGTGCGTATACGTAATAAACATAAATTGAGTGTTGTATGTTTCATCGCCATACCAAACGAAAGTTTTCACCGATAATCTAAACGTACCGTGACTGTTACACCTTTATAGAAATAATATCGCATATTCAAGGATCTCCTTGGAGAATGGAATGTCTTCAAACGTGCTCCGGCGAATAGATCGGTGTTCGTGTACTACTAGCTTCATGGCCCGAGATTATCTCCGTGATGAAAATAATTTAAAAAAAAATAAAATGTCGTAGACCAATGAACATAGTGCACGAATGCATACTCTTCTCCTGGAAAATTAGAATACATCCCTAGTAATGCATGGCTGTGAGGGAGATCATACAATTTTTAATATATCTATTTGTTTCAATGAGAATAACTTCATAGAAAACCTACGAAGATATGTGCATTCCTGTTTGGGTAAATACTAGTAAGAAACAGAATGTTTCACAACGGATTAGATACTTTGTAGTTGAATTTGATTTACTAGATACTTAACCCGAGTAACGGAAAATATCGACTGAAATGCGTCAGGCAAACATTATCAGGGAGAGTATGTGTAAGAACTCTTTCATTTTGGTGTGAAAATGTTTTCTGCAACGGACAGGTTGTTTCAGATCGGGATTAGTCACCGGTGCCTAATTTGAATGCCCTGTCTCCAAATTCATTGACTGGTTAATAATTAGGAATGTCAATAAACCAGGGCTATGTGAACATTCTGAAAAGAACCGACATTATTTGAATGGTTTGAATAGCACTTCCTCACACTGGTTGTGCTCTTCTGGACAACCGTTAATTAACTTTATCAACAATTTTTGTCTTTTTTTAACGACATTTTTTTTTATCTGCCTCACGTGAAAAAGAGAGACAATTTCAACACTGTGTGATAGTGACAATTTAAACTTGTGTGGTAAGAAAAACTTTGCATTATTAAGCTAGTCTAGATTTGTTGAGTGTACATGAGACCACAGACATATAGAACACACTGACCCAGGTAGGAGGCACAGTGTGTAAACGCAGTGACATAAAAAGTAATCAGCTAAAACAAATTATGGTTGACAATTTTGACCTACGTGTTTTGAAATGTCTTTAACATTAACTTTGTCAAAAGTAGTGTTTATGTTTACCTAATTATTCCCTCATATTGGTATGAATCATTTAAGAGCAATCGTTGACAATATTTCATGTGACGTATAGACTAAATGGTTAAATACGCAAAAACGGGTTGTAAATTGTGGCGTTTTTATTCTAGCATTTAATGCTTTCAATCTGGTAAAGCGTTGAAACATTGGTCACAATAGACCATTTTCCGTTTACTGCGAGAATCACGCGTTATGCGTGAAATCGAACGTAAAACAGGACAAACAAAGGTCATAGCGTCGTAGAGGCGTCAAACATCGCGTGGGATTCAACAAACGCGAAGTATTTTGGAGGACATTTCCATGCTTAATAATGTGCTGTCCACATTTGATGATAGGCAATTTCGATTAAGTAAGGGTATTCGAAAGCAATATTCTTCTGTCGAAGATCGGCCGGTCGATGTGAATTACGAAATAAAGAAATTCTAGTTTAAAATCAAATCGTTCGACTTTTGTGGCAGACGTTCGACGCGCGTCTTTCATACATCTCGCGAGATCTCGCAATTGTACGGAAAATCACCTATTCCATTATTCCTGTAGTACAGTATATATAGTCTTGTCGTTGCGTTGCCGGGGAATCGTTTTAACTACATAACGGACATAATTATCGTTGGAGGTCTGCGAATATTAGAATTTGAGATTCGCTGTCATGTCAGCAATTTAATTAACGGGTGATATGTATACTAGTATATACGCGTTGGACTTGACTGAGCTGGTTGATAGGAATTTAGTTGATCACACCCACTGATTATGGCTATACCATGCTTCATTTATCAATCGGTTGATTGAGTACATACGTATAATAGGTTGATATTAGGTCCGGGCCGTTGCCAGTTAACACGGATATATCAAGAGATAAACTAATAATAACTTCTAATGTAGCTATACAACAACGACCATTGAGTACCAGTTGCCTCGTCTTTTTCAAAGCAGGTGTACTCGGTCAGGTCACCTAGCACTGGAATTGGACCAGTATTCCTAATAGTAACAGTAAATATACGAATATGGTTTTTAACTGATTTGAAATTACAAAGAAAAGTCTCAACAAAACAAGGGAATGTCTTTTAATTTAATTGCAGAACGGTAATATTGACGATGAAAAAGATGACAAAGATAAGAAAAAAGGTGGATTCATTCAATTCCTCAAGACAAATTGGAAATTGGTTGCCATCATTGTCGGAATAGCAGCGGCCATATTTATATTATCTATTATTATAGCTGTCGTCGTAGCAACATCAGGTAATGTCAACATTGTAATTTCTCTGATTTGAAAATGCTTGTAACGCCCCCTCCAGTGACAAAATATTTTAGCTACGTCAATATGACGCACATGTATAAAAGAAATTTCGTTTAACTTGAATTATTTAAAGCGGGAGGGTCGTCACCTGGGCATGCGCGGGAATTGAGTGTAAATCAACGATAACAACACAAGCTAACAACGCAAAGGCTCATGGCTAGACGCTTGTTTGTAAACAATGACACGATATGGCAAACTGACACATGCTCAGGTGACGACTCCCCCACTTTAAATGTGAAGTCGTTAATTATTTAGAAATGACTGTTTTGCCTGTCCGTAGAGGGCGCTTCTGGCATACTGGGACCGCAGTGCAATGATATGTAATTGTATTAGTGCGCGTGGAGTATCAGTTTTTGCTCTCTGTTTTATTTTTTGAATTCATTCGGGAATATTTAAAGTACAACGTGTTCAGTTGTGTATTATTTTTCATAAGCGCAGTCAGGTAAAACCCGTCACGTGACTGGCGAGAGATTTTTAGTCCGTCATTATTGGGATTTTTTATCTGTTTCTCCACGGCTTGTGCACTGTTTATGGGATTGTCGGAATTATTAGGTTTAGTGCTATTGTTGTGATTGTTATTATTATTTTCCACAGACAATGGTGGTAATAATAGTTTTACCAATCTTGACTAAACACATTATATATTTACTTTTAATTTTGATAACAAGAGACCATTGTTTAACTTTAGAACCAATACATGTAACAAGCCCGGGAACGACCGCTTATGAGCGTCCTGTGTTGTCTTTTTCTTGGCAATAAAGTTGAAGTGTGTTGTATTTATCACTAATTTATAAATAAATCACGAGTTATGTTCGTAGAAGTGACGAATATTCTCTGATTGCTCGTATATGTAGTGTTTATTGGACCATTTTGCTGATAAAGACAAACTATGATTTATTCGAGGAAAACAGTAACAAAGTTACTAGAGGGCGCGCCTTATTTGAACTACACATTTTAGTCATTTCAAGTAAATTGTATTCTCTTTCACCTAGGCGACACAGTGTCACTCAAAACTTCATATGACTATTCAGAGGTTATTCACAAGTCTATACTGTTCTACGAAGCACAGCGTTCTGGTGTGTTACCGGAAACCAACAGAATACCATATCGAGGCGATTCTGCGTTAGATGACAAGGGAGTGAACGGAGAAGATTTAACGGGAGGCTGGTATGACGGTGAGTGGTGACGTCACCTGAGTAGCTAATTATATTTGAATTCACTACATGTGCTGACATGAGTTTACAAATCAATTGTGTCAACATTGAATGAATATATAATTAAGCACACTTATGCCTCGAATGATTGATATGTTGAATATCTTCCTCAGCCGGTGATCACATAAAGTCAACCTTCCCGATGGCGTTCAGTGTCGCGGTGCTCACCTGGGGTTATCTGGAATTTAAGGATGCGTACGAAGAAGCCGGAGAAACACAGAATATGTTGGATTGTATCAGATGGGGGACAGACTTTCTACTGAAAGCACACACAGCGCCGAATGAATTATATGTACAGGTGCGATGCGAGCATACTGCCATCAACGGCCACATGGCCTTTTTCTATTTAACGTGAATACAATATACATGATGTGTCGTCACATCGCATGTGTTCTAGATCCAGTGTAGTAGCGTTAAATCAACATGTGAATTTATCGTTTACTAGCAAAATGTTAGTGAACATGGTGAATACGTACGCCTCATGAATAAAACAAGTTAACGTGAATTCGACGGCTATTATTGTTGGCACCTAGAGAGGTTATTGACTTAGGCCGGTAGATGATCATTTCTGTCGACAACAGTTCAAATCATCAAAACATCGATTTAAGAATTTTACTATTAACAAGAAACGTCCAAGTCCAAGAAACATAATAATTTGTTACTTGTTCAACAATTAGATCGCGAAGAAATCGGTTGATCATGGATATTGGGGCCGTCCAGAAGAAATGACAATGAACAGGACTTCATTCAAAGTGACCACGGAAACCCCTGGAAGTGACGTCGCTGGGGAAGTATCGGCCGCATTGGCTGCTGCGTCGATCATTTTCGCAGATTCAGGTAATATTTTACTGAACGATTTATCTAGTTACTTAGATTGCTTTATTGTCCATTAAGTTATTGCTCATAAATACAGAAAATATATCAAGAATATATACTGGTAGGCACCGTGACTGTTACGTTTTCACATAAACCATTCTTAACGTCACTAAATTTAAAGGGCGGTGATCGTCGCACAGCGCGTGTGCGAATTTCATGTAAAAACAAATGTTTTACCCGCGTTGTGTACGTCGCTATGAGTCCCATGTCAAACAGGACGCGACGCGATGACTACCATTGCGAGAATTGACACTAACATTTTAATAAGCCAGTTCATTGTTAGGCTGCTATTTTGTGTTTACCCATGTACCCATGTTGTGACTGTGTATCAAACTACTAGTTTTTCAAGAAGTTGTATATGATTTAAATTCAAAATTACTAAGTGCAAAACCAACAACGGTAAAGACGACGACGATTTCACGATAACGGCAAACCCCCTACTTTCAGCGCCCTCGTATGACTAATTAAACTATTAATTTTGTTTTTATCTTAATGCTTATGGTGAAACTGAAACTACGGTCTGTAATGTTGATTGGAACATTGTAATTGTCCGACTAAATATTTAGTTTACTTTAATTCAGATCCAGATTATGCCAATCAATTGCTAGATGAATCCAAAGAATTATTCCACTTTGCTGACAATTATCGTGGATTTTACAAAGACTCTTTCCCTGACATTAGTGAAGCCATCTATATTTCGTAAGTCACACTAAGTCGACAATATCACATTAACGAACGAAACCTCGTACACTAGTTATAATTCGTGTAATATTTCTAGAAACGTGCAATAGTTCTCAATAATTCGAACTGTCTTTCGGTTAGACCCGTGATTTTATTAAATTTTAAAAGTGTGCTAATTAAGAACAAGTCATATAATTTGACGTAAGTTTACATAAACAATATATTTTTACATAAATAATTTGCCACCTGTCTATTACAGAGGGAGCAAATACGAGGACGAGATAGCATGGGCGGCTATTTGGTTGTATAAGGCAACTGGCGAGGAAGTCTATCTCAATAAATCGGAGAATGAGATACCGAACATGATTGGAGGACGTTCATGGGCGTTTGGATGGTCACAGGTTGACGCAGGTGTACATGTATGTTCGATTTTTAGTTGTTGCTATATTCCCTCCCTCGTCGTTCGCTCTACTGACAGTGTACAACTTTCATAAAACTAGCGCCCTCTATCGACGGCGCAAACCTCGAACACAAAATGGGTGAAAGTAATATCATAAAAATATTAATATAGATGCCATTTACATTGTATAATCAATGATTATAATTTGCATTAATTTGCGAGTTAACATTGTCAACAAATAAACTAAGATAAATATCACTGATATTACTCTGATATTATTATAGTTCATGTTCAAGTTTAATCCTTTTTTTACAAATTCACACAACTTGTTCCACATGTCAATATTACTATGTGTAGCTCATAAATTATTCACTGCTGTCGAGATTACAACAAGACGTGTTTAGGTTCAGTGACGTGACATTGATAGTATTCTTTGATATTTGCCGTTGGTGGCGTACTATTGCCAACTTGCCGCGCATGGTCGTATATTTGCATTCCTCGTCGACCAAATCTTTTTAACAAGAAATGAGTTTGTCTTACGTTGTTTCATCGCTTTAATTACCAGACCATCTCCTGGGCGGATCTTGTTTAGCGTCTGACAAGTACTTGTAGGTCACTTTAATAAGAATACTATACCAATGCGCACTTGTTGATGACGTACACTAGCTTATTCAGCCTCGCACGGCACTACCCGGGCCGTTCGGCAAAGCGCCTCAATTTGTGCATCGACGTGACGCACATGCCGGGACTAACGAAACGCCTGCCTGGTTATCCAACTCACATTTGTTTGTCGTATACAACATGAAAGACTTTTGAGTGTTTGGAATTTGTAACAATTCGTTAGGACAGGAATTGCACAATGAGCGGCTTACGATGTGTTACTATGGAAACATGTCGGATATGATTGAAGGCTACAGCGACAAGTGGCGGGTCAACCCCACACTCCACTCAGGTTCGACTCACTCCTTTCAGCGTTATTCAGGGTTGCCATTGTAATTATGGAACATGCATCTCTTTCGTTTCAGACACTTTTGTACAACTTGACTGGAAACTCGTACTATAAGAAGAGAGTGACGCGTTATGTAGACGAGTGGTTGCCTGGTAACGCTATGCCATATACACCCAAAGGACTAGCGTTTCGAAATTACTGGGGGTCGCTTAGATATGCTTGTAAGTTTGTCAACACACTTAAAGATATACTGTAAAATACGTAATTCTAGCTGCAAATAATTTTCGCTGAAAATATTTTGTGTGTGTTTGTTATGGGAATTATTTTCACTTGGTTTTGATGAGTTGAATGTAAAATGGGGGGGGGGAGGGTTTATTCGCTGGATTTTATTTTCACTGAATCATCCCTCGGCGAAAATAGCGAAAGTGAATTCCAAGCAAAAAAAATTTGTTACTGTAAAAATACATAATATATGTAATTTGAAAGAAATGATTGGTCAATGCTATGAAGGGTAAGGTAAATCAGAGCACTAATCTGATTCCCGACATTCCAAATTCTGGGACAACTAATGTGTGCAACATGTAAGCTGCACGAACAATGCGCGGGCAAGGTGCACTGCCTACCGATAATTTGTTGTGTTCGAAAACGCTCATGATTTAGTGAAATATTGTGTTGGGAATTATATTGAGTGTCCCATACATTCCGTATGATTCCCGGTGTTTACGGTTTTACAAATTATAACACGCGACTTGTTTCATCGTCCTCAGCGTCTACTGCGTTCATTGCATTGGTCGCAGCTGAGAGCAGGGTACGCCGCACACCGTACCGACAGTTTGCAAAAGATCAACTCCACTATATACTGGGAGACACGGGGCGTAGTTACGTGTGTGGATTTGGAGAGAATCCTCCAGTTCAACCTCATCATCGAAGTAGGTGGGTGTAATTCAAGTCATTTATTCGCTGACAGACACAGCAGACAAACAGATATGGCTGAAACATACGCCACGAATTGTTATATTGAATAAAATTGTTCATGAAATATACAGCAAATTATATATGGTGCTTACAGGGGTCAGGGGTCAGTGAGACAATATTTGCATATTGTTAGGATAATCATACTAATGAGATTATATCCACAGTTCTTGTCCTGATTTGCCAGAAAAGTGTGCGTGGAATTCATTCGGCAGCCCTGACCCAAATCCCCAGATATTGTATGGTGCTTTGGTAGGGGGACCTGACGAAAATGACGATTACGAAGACGCCAGAGCTGATTACTACAAGAACGAGGTCACGTTGGATTACAACGCCGGCATGCAGTCTGCCGTTGCAGGTAGTCAAACTTGTTATGCCATATCTTTGGGTATTCGCTATTCATGAACAAGTATTTGATAAAACGTTACGAGCACTGAACACGTGCCAACGCACCTGTATCATGCCGCGGTCATTGCTGACTAGCCGAACTTATGTTTCTACACGGAAATTAATACTCTTTTTTAAAAAACAAACAAACTTAAGTTGATTTTAATCATAATGTGTGAGATCGGTGTTGGGAGCCTGAGGATGCCGACCTGCAGCGTATTGACGATGCGCACCACAGGGGCTTGTCGACTGAGCGCGAAAGCCCCTTGTCGAGAACGAAGTTCGAGAAGGGAGGACACTCTACCACCAGAGTGACGTCATAGCTTTACAATTATTCGAATTTAAACAGTAATCAATCATTTACCTTAGAAAAAACAACACAAAAACTGAATACAGTTAAGTGCTAATCTATTCAAACCACCATCACGACCAAATTCGGCAAATTAGCGACAAAATACACGTTTTCCCGAGTCTGAATGACTACCGCTGTATGTCAATTGCCGGCCGCAGCCAT